TTCTGTGTTCCCCACAACGAGTTTGGCATTGGGGTACTGGGATTTGAGAGCCACCAGTTCATTGAGAGTTGTGGGCTGGATCCACATCACACGCTCTCCTTTGAAACACATCTGCTTCTGCTGTTTGTTACTCTGAGTCTGCAGAAGGGAATTCAGATAGAGCTCAGCCCCTACATCGAGCCAAGAATCCCTGCTCACCTGCTGCCCATGCCTCTGCCATGCTGGGCTCCATCTCAGCTGAGTTACTGACAGGGGGCTGGGATATCCACACTGTTGTTGGCAGTTTGCCATTCCCCATCTTTCTGCCAGCAGTGATGAAAGTCTTTCTCATGCTGACAAAAGTTGCTCCTTCCTGATACTGCCAGGTGCATTCTACTGCCACATCTCCCTAGCAAGGTCTGTGCCAGGAAGCTCCATCTGATCAAGGTTCTGGCACATGTCTGTGGCTCCAGTTGCTTCAATGGGCTTTCCATTCTCATCTCAATCCAAAAATGCCAGTCTTTAGCACTGATGAATTGCAATTACCTGCTAGGTAAGGTTCTGATTCCCTTTGTAACTACTTCATCCAGTGACCAAAAAAAACATGAGATCAACCCTTGGCTGGGAGAACATCTTGGAGAAGAAACAGAGAAGCCCTTTCTCAAGCTGAATACATCTTATGCTATGGTCTAAGGGAACCTACTCATGCTGTAGCTCATGACACATTTAAGCTGGGTACAGCAGCAGAATTAATGGCTGAATGTCAGTTGTTAAATGTGAAGGAAGCTGTAAATGCATCATGTGCTGGATTAGATTCTTGGCTGGGACACACTGCTTAGGGGGGAGGATCTCCGAAAAAGACAGGAATGAAATATGGAGAGAAACTTATCTCACCTAACTTTTAATGTCATTGTGAGCCAACCAACTTTTATTCCTGCTACAGTGAGGGAAGTTTTTTGAAAAGACAACTATTTGAGATATGGATTCAGGTACATCCTGTAGTTCCTACTTCACTTCCTACACTATAAAGGGAACACAGGGAGACCAGCTCAGATAGATCTGTACTTGATGTAGAAGTTCACATCTGACCTAGTAAATTGACATCTGGATTTTAGCGACTATTCCACCCCAGACGAGAAAGGAAGGACTGGGAAGGAAGGCACCCCAAGAGCAGAGTCACATATGGTGAGAAGCAGAAAGCAAGCCAGACAGTTGGAGCAGGCACCTGACCCTGGCTGAAATACCTTCTGTTTTATAAAACAGGGAAGGGTTCATGCCCATGCATTTTCTTTCCTTAGCAGCCATTTTTGCCCTGCCATTTCCTCAAGACAGACAGGACTCAAACCTTGTACAGAACAACTAAACCAACTACTCAGTGCTACTTCTTTCTGAATGGACTTACCATTAACTCTGGTGGGAAGATTGGCTCCTGTGTGGGATCCAGTGGCTGGAACTCAGAGGAATTGAACAGGCTGGAGGATGTCATTGTCTATGACAGAGAAAATGCAAATGGCTAATGATTGAGGAGTAAGCTCTCCACACACAACCATAACTCCTTCCTCTTTCTACTCAAATCTACTATTTCAGAGAGCAAAACGCAGCAAACGCAGCAAAATATGCCACCTGAATCAGCATTTAAGATTCTTCAGTTATATTTTTCTGACTCCCCTGCATGTCTTGTCAGAACCCTCAATCCTAAACACACTAATATGTTTTTGTCAATCAAAAGTAACATCCCTTTTACACTGGCATGTTAAATCGTGTCAAGTACACCTTTTCTGAGGTAAGTTCTTCTGACCATAAAATATAAATTAGTCTACATTGCCTTGCATAAATATTGCTAAAATAAAAGTATTTGGTTTGGCCATGCAATGAGCCAGATCTAAGACTTTAAACATCAGAAATAATGGAAAAACTATTAGTGGAGAGGCACCTTACCATACTGTCTTCTTTTCCATTCATGCAGCAGCCCAGACCATTGGCTTTTCCTCCACAGCAGCCCCCATTCTGAAGAAGAAACAAGCACACTTCAGCTATTCTAAACAAAGTCAGAACATTGCAACTTTTACAGAATATAGTCCTCCCCTTTCATCAGTCCCCGGATTTCAGAACTTTGCAGTAATATTTTTTTATTAATAAACTGCTTGAAATAAAGGACTCCAAGCAGTCTTAATTGTTGGAGTATTCCATGCAACACTGAATGCTTCTTAAAAAACACAGAAATTCCTTGGAAATTTCTGATAAATGATTTCATTATATTCTCTTTTTCCTAAACTGATTTTATACTCACACTATCTTGTACACCAATTTCTTCTTTCCATCCCCTTATTTGTTTTGTACCTAGACTGGTAATCACATACAATGTAATTAACTTTTTTCCCCTCCAGATATTCCAAAATATTCCAATTGTACCGTTTCGGAACAGAGAGGAAATTACTTCATTCATTACTGGATGGCAAAGTTTGGGAAAGATCACAGTGACCTGTTTTCACAGAAAGATGTATCACTTCAGTGCACCAGAAGCTGGTAACACTTTGCTTATAGCTGTCACCATGCTATTTCACAGAAGGGTTGCACCTTGCAGACTCAGAAGGAACATCACTGTTTTAAAACCCATTCATGCTAATCAGGTCATACACAGTCCCAGCATTTTCCAAGAGATAGACAATAAAAACAGCTCAGAGAGCTCTGAGTATCTGCACCACAGCAGAGCCAGAGAGGTGACTAACATATCAAGGCTCCAATGTTATACTAAATATTGAGATTATGGGTTTTTAACATTCAGTTTACCATGGTATTTTCCCTCCCACTACGACAACATCCAGTGCCATTGGCAACTCTGCCACAGCAATTCATGTCCTGTGGGAAGAAAAACTGTCCTGAGGAAAAATGTGCAGATTCCAAGGAAATGAAATAGGTTTGAACACCTTCTGAGAGCAACATCCAAAGCAGAAGGAAGGTGCCAACCAAGTAGGTGTTTCTCTTGCCAATGGAAGGCAATATCCTGCAGTGTCATGCCCACTGTACTGATAAACCTCTTCCTCTGGTTTGTAACTATTCTGACCATTCAACCATTATCTCTGGAGCTGTGAGGAGACACCCAGGGATGACTGAAAGGGACAAGCACATACAATACCAGTACTCTGCCACCAGGCAGACTATCTGCCTTCATTTTCAATCTGACTCCTATTTCATTTCTTGAAATGCTCGTTTACTGGGAGAGGCAGGAAATAGCAGGTGCCTGTTCACATTCCACCTGCTAATCACAATTTTGTTGATTACTATCAGAGGTCAAGAGAAACCACTGTATGTGCTATGTAGAATGCCTTCCTCTCCCTGGCATCTCTTTTTCAGGCTGAGGTGCACTCAGTGCTTCCCTGTATGGAAGTTAGATTGCCACAGATGTGATCCTTGTTCCAGTTCTCTGAATCTTCTTCTACTCTGCCATACCCTGTTAGAGATGAGAAGAGCAGAGCTGCACAGAGTACTCAAGTGTAGGAAGAGCCAGGGAAGTGTTTTCTCTTTTGTATCCCATTCTCTTCTCCAATCTCTCAGGTTCATAAAATCCTTCAGAAATTCCTCAAAGGCAATTCCTGCCTTCAGTACCCAGACGAACTTGATGACTGTTAGCTTATTTTCTCATATCCTTACTCACACTCTTTTAAACCACATTTAGGGATAGGTGCAACAGCCTTGCTTCCCACCAGAGGTCCCAGAACAACTCCACAACAGTGACTTCCCTCCACTGCAAAAATATACCATTTTTCCTCTACTGCCTTTTAACCAATCTTTCCTCCATACAGAGATCTTCCCTCTTAACCCCTATTGTCTTTAAAAGTCTTTGGTGAGACACTGTGGAAAACCTGTTGGAAATCCAAGTAGGCTTTTAATCAACTGGGTTTATCAACCATTTGTAATGGATCTCACTCCTGCTTGTATTCTCTTTTGTTGATTGCAATTCTGGATAATAAAATGAAATTAATGGGCATCATTGTAAATTCTTTTCTTTTGATATTTAATACCAGTGTAAACCCATGAGTAGCTGGTAATTACTGAAGTTCATAATGATCTACTTCTCTTCAGAGCCTCCAGCACTCTTTCATGTACAAAGGGGCTAGAGAAAATTTATGGCAAAGCTTCATACCTCACCCAAACCAGCAGAAGAATTCTGGGCAAGAGCTATAAAATAGTGAATTCAATTTCTTTCCAGAGCTATTTCTGCTCTGCAGCTGATCTTACAAAAAAGCAAGTTCTTCACCAGATTCCTGCACAGTGTGCTCCTACCAGTGTACCAAACCTTTACACTTTGTCCACACCAGGATCAGGATGCAAGATGAATTATGCAGAGACGGTGAATTTTTCTGAGACTTACAGAAAACAGTTACGGAGTCTGATTAACTGTGATCCAAAAAGGGACCATGAGATGGATCTTATTCAAGTGTCCCAGTAAGTGGAGAGAGAAAAGAGTTTGCTCTACCTGAATTATTAATGCATGAATCACATGCAAAGGGCTCAAGAGCTGGATTGTTACAGCACATATATTTCCTTCCTCCCCATTTGAGTTCACAGCATGTTTCAGTAAAAGAGAGAAAGACAGCCAATTTCCAGGTTTTTTTAAAGACATCATCTGAAGCCACTTACTTTAGCAAATGTCCTGTATCCTTCCAGAATGGGCCTGTAGCCTGTACACCGACACAAGTTCCCTGCATTGCCAGAGCAAAAGGATAAGGATTTAGTGCAATTCGGCTAAAAAATTCCCTTCTTTTAGAAAATTCTATTGTTTCTATTAATTTGATAATAGCTTGTCAAATCCTGATACAGTGAATGAAAAAACTGAGAGGAGGAAAATTTCATTTGGAACCTTGCAACAACCTTACAATTTTTTGTTGAAATTTAAACTGAAATTCATTTAGAACAAATTCGATCTGTCTTATTCAGTACTCATTTATCTCGATTGTGTGAGTGTTCTTAGTATACCACCTGGTCTCTCTCCTGAATTACACAGAGATTTCTTTCTCCTGCATCATCACTCCTCTCAGATCACTGCTGGAAGCACAGTAATGACTCTAACCTCAGCAACAACAGCAATCTCTCACAGGATTTGCACAGTTGGATTCTGCTCCACTCCATCATTGCATGTTGCTGTCTTGGTCCTTGACTTGAGAACATGTTCTCTGTCACCTCTGCAGGCTCTTGTGACAGCAATGAATGAACAAAGACACTATTTAGCCCCTCAAGGACAGGCCACCTTTTGGTCTATCGTTAAGATCAGTGGGTTCCTAATCCCAGACTGAGGCCACTTGCCCCTGCTTATGCACTATGATGTTTGCTTCATAGCACCTGGCCAGTCTCCAAGTGACAGAGCTACTTCTTAACCTCACAACCATCAGCTATTTTTAAAAGGATACATTAGAAAATGGTGCACCTCCATCCCACTGGGTGAAGCAGATGTAATAAAAGCAGAACAGGTTGCACCCCTGCAGGGCTATGAATATTACCTTGGAAAGCATCTTCAATGTCCTCCATGTGGGGCTCAGGGTTGTTCCGAAGCAACGTGTACATGGACATGACGATGCCTGGAGTGCAAAAGCCACATTGGGATCCATGGCTTTTTGCTATTCTCTCCTGAGAGAAAGTAAAAACCACGATTAGCCCATAATATCAAGGTGAGCTCATTGTTGTGCTTGTTTCTATTACACGTCTGTTAAAAGCAAAACCCAATATCACAGAGGAGCTAAGATTATCATCAGATGTTCTCTGTTCAATTTATCTGTGAGACAGCTTTCAAAGAGGAGAGCAGCTTGAATAGTTTGCACGTAGGCTTTGAAATCAAAATGTGACTGGAAGCCACTGGAAGGAGATCAGGAGTTCTTCAGATTTACCATGCTAGGAAGGTTTGGGCTACCTGCCTATACCTGAGTTTGAATTTCAAAACTTAGCTGTCAGAATCTTCAGCCGGGGAGAGAGAAAAGAAGATAAATAAACAAAGGTCAGATCCATTCATGTACATCAAACTTATTTTTCACTTTGTTGTTTCCTCCCTCAGATACTGGCACAAGTCCTACCCACTATACAAACTGAGATGAATCACAGTTTACCTTAAGGAACCAGGTGTCTGACAAAGAGAGGCAAGGCTGCATTGTAACACCTTGCTAGAAGAGCAGGGATGCACATTCCTGTCACTCCTTCTCACCAAGAATATTTTGAGACTCCAGAAACATCTCTGAACCAAACCCTGCTTCACTACTGCAGGGAAGGTTCCTAACTATGCAAGATCAGAAACCAAAGTCATTCTTGGAAAGCCACATGGGAGAGCCCAAACCTATCTCAGATTTCCTAGCTCCAGGTCATTATATTGGCTTTCCCTACATCAGACTTTCCAGACTGGGATGTGGACCAAATACAGCCATGCAGCCCAAGAACAAAAGCATTGGCAATTCAGCCAGGATAGCACCAGTTAACCTGTTGGGGCAGAACAGAGCTGTAGCATTGCCTCGGGAGTTTGATTCTGTCACTTAGCCATTCCTGCAAGTATGGATTGCTCACATGGAGAGTCAGCCTTATGGCTTTAGCATTATGGTGGAGGTCCCTGGAACAGGTTTAATTAGCATAAGAAAACATGTATAGAGAGTTTTAAAGTTACCAGTATTAATAGCTTACCTGGGCTGGGTGCAGCCTGGATTTTGTGTTTCCTATGCCTTCAACAGTAGTTACAGCCACGTGATGCAGGGCACAGACAGGGAAGAGACAAGCATTGGCAGTATGGTGGCTAAAACACTACATTAAGGTCATTTCATTTGATAGTGCTGCTCAGCAAAGGAAAAAGGGAACAGGAGCAGTGAAGAGTACTTGGAAGCTATAGCAGTGGACACAATAGGAACACTTAAATAGGTGTGATACAATAATTAATTACAAGCCAAATCCTACAGCACTCAGTCATCCAAAGTTCTAATCAATTTCCCTTGCAGTTGGATCTGGGCATACACCATAGGATTTCACCTAAATATAGCAACTTTAAACATCCTTGTTGCACATTAATATACAGAACCCATATAAGTAATTTATAGGGGGCAGACTACAAATACCAAGATGTTGTGCAGCTAGATGCTTGCAAAGTTACATAAGAACCTGGAGCTCTCAGACTTTTAGCCAGAAGGCTGTTTCTAGATGGTAAACATGGGGAAAAATGCTAGACTGAAGGTAAAAGAGAATGTTGCCAAAACTCATATGAGAACTAGCTATTCTATCTCATTTCTATCAAGACAGAATAATGACCCTAAAGATATCTTATTCATAACCATGCTATTAAGTAGAACCACTCAGAGAATCCAAGTTATAGTATCTCCAAACATTATTCCAAATATATTAAAAATTTCAGTGTTTTCTCTTCCCCACAGTAAAACTAAACTGGGGCCTGTCTCTCTGCCTCATCCTCTCTCTACATTCCCCTTTTTGTTTGATTCCATTGTTTCTCATTTCAATTAATTAAAGTGAGAACAGGAAGAAATGTTGTCTCAGGAAGTAATTCTGAAAGTTACAATAGAAGTAGAGGGAAAAGTTCATATCTGCTGGCATACAGAAACAAGATTATTGTCATAATACAATAACAATAAAGATTTTATCACAATAATCATTATATGGATTCTCACAGGAAAAAGTTACATTAGAATCAGTGCAGATATTGCAGGGCACAAAGAAATAGTTCCCTATCAGCATTGTGCAATGCTTTAAGAAAAATACTTTCTTATCTTAGCCTTCTGAAAGTGAAAAATTATGTTTTGACAGAAATATTCATTATAGAACTTCTTTTAAAAAATAGTACCATGTCTGATATGTCAGGAACATGGATCTGTGCCCATTTTATTTCTCTGTTGCAGAGTTCAGATTGCAAAGGATACAGGATTTTCTTCCGAAAGGGATCATACTTGGATATCATAACAGTGCAAGCACCACATCCACCTTCTCCACAGCCCAGTTTGGTTCCACACAGGCCCACTGAGAGACCAGGAATTAAGGAAAACACAAAAAGTGTTGGCAGAAACCTGCTCAAGTAGTCAATCAAGGCTGAGCAACAAGTTCTTGCTGGAAACAAAGCACTCATTTCTTCTGCTTAATAATTTAACATAAGCAAAGTTTCAAAAGCTGGCATGTGACTATTGAGATCAACACCCAAACCCGTCATAAGGGGTTAACCACACTCCAACAGATTCTTAGAAATAAACAAAAAATATCTTCAACTGCAACAGTTCCCACTTTCCATTACTCAGAAAGGGAAATTACATAAGGGAGATAAAGCACTGGTAATTGCTGAGCAAGAGCTGTTCAGGCGTGCAGCCACATTCCTGAGCAACGCAGTGACACCCTCTTTCAGCACCTCTTACTGGTAGGGTTTGACTTCTTCCTGCACCTGGGGACTCCTACCACCCAGAAGGATCCCAGGCAGTGCAGTCACTCGTGGCTACAAGTTACACAGTTTAGCACTGCCTGGGAGCTGCATTTGAACTGCTCACAGACCACCTGCATCTCAAAAGTCATGGTCTGGCCACTCCATTTCTGATGGCTTGCCAATCAGGACAAAACCAGCTAAGCACACTCCCAGGAGCCTGGGTCCCATAAAATACAGGAGGGAGACACTGAGAGCCAGAACTCATGGAGATGCACAGACACCTGGGAGCTCACAGGGTGAATGGCCTGGCCTAAGCAGATTCCTCCACAGACTGCTGAGCTCATGGCCATGCTTTAAAATCAGAAATTACATCAAATGTTCTGCAAAGAGAGTTCAGGAGAGAATTCGTTGAGCCACTTCTGCTTAGGTTCTTTCACTCATTAAAAGGTAATTAGACACTATTACTTATTGCAAAGAGGATTGGCCAATGTTGAGAGACTTTTGGTGGGGTAGAAATCATGATTTCATTGGCAATTGAGTAGAGAATCAGTGCCTTTCCCTATATCACAGAGCCTTTGGAAAAGCAACAGACACCGTGATAGAGGGAACTCAATTCACCTTGATATCACTGCAAACAGTATGGCACTGACTGTTCCTAGAAAATCACAGAAACATTTAGGTTGGAAAAGATCTTTAAGATCACCAAGTCCAACCATAAACATAATGTTGCCAAGTCCACCTCTAAACCATGTCTTTAATGCAAACCTAATGCTGCCAAGCCCATGATTAAACCATATCCTTAGAGTCACCGCTGCTTTTCATACAATCATGTGCCTGCTTGAGCAGAAACACAGCTTTCCTATGCCATCTGATGTTTCCCTTGACAACAGTGCTAGCCTGCCTCAATAAAATATGTTTCTCAAAGTATTTGTCTGACTCTAACCAGATATCTACAAAGTAAATTCACCAGAATGCTCATGTAGAAGATCAGCAGGTTTTGAAGAGTTCAGATTCTCTCTTTACAAAGCTATTTGCATTAGTTATCAAGAAGCTTACACATAAAAGTTCTAGCAGTAAGATAGGCACACATAGGCATAAGGGTCATGCCACTTACATTTCCTCTTGACCTTTATCCATCTGTGGCATATTCAGATACATAGAGCTGCTGATAATACTGCTGGAAACCTCAAAGAGGGGTGTGATTCATGTCCCTGTACTTCCTCAGCTCCCAGACAAATGGAACACGGCAGCATGGTACACATACAACAACAAAGCTGTCAACAATTTGGCAGATGTACACACCCAGCTGGCCAGACAAAAACTCAGAAAACATGGAATGACATGACCTGTGGAACCAAGCCTGGTACAGCCAGCCTGGTCAGCACAGGAATTACTCAGCTCCTGAAGCTGTTCTGACTCTGTGTTGACCAGTTTCAAACAGCAGTGAAACGTGACCACTTGCACCTTCTCGTGTAAACATGCCCATGGTACATGAGGGGAACCCCTGCCTCTGAGCCTGCCACCCTGGGACATCTGAGAAACAGCAGAGAATTATAAAGCTATGGGACATTGCTAGCCAATATGATGCTTTGGCCAGAATATTATTTATGATTTATGTGGAACAATCTTAAATTTCCCTCAATTTTGTTGTCATCTCATTATTGCTTCCTTTCCATCATATTATAATTACGCGAAATTACAAGTTTTTCCTTTAAAGTATTAACAAATCTTTTAAAGTACATAATTTAAAATTTGCTATTGTTTAAGCCTGGAATAGCAGCTGTAATCTTTGCTAGCAAGAAATACCAGACAATGCAAAGCACTCCCTCTTATACCCTGTGCAAAAGCTCTGCCCAGTACTGAAGAGACAGAACAGTAAACAATTATGAAATGCTGTAGGCATTTAAAGCCTTCTGCAGTTTTTTCTGACACCGGATACATTTTCTTCGTAGATAAATCAGCAGGGTTGTTTCTGGGTCCACATTTTTTTCCACCACCTGCAAGAAGAGAAAGATATTGATAAACACAAAATGTTTTACAACACAGATAAGTTAGTTGCAAGGGGAAAGTTTGGTCTTTCCACAACTTCTTTTCCAAAGCGGAGAGCAAAATCACTGATTATTTCAGCAATGTTAGTCATTTTCCTTGAAATCATTGTGTCAGAGGGAAATATATGCATTACATACATCCGGGTTTTTCAGTTATGGCACACTGAGGCAAATCTAAAAAAAACCCTTCATCAAAAATGGCAAACAGATTTAGTAATGAGAAGAGAAAGAACTGTGTTTTGTACTCAAATCTTGGGTTCCTGACATGTCCCAAATAATGTCTCATCTCTACTGACCCTGAATAACTGAACTCTGTCCTTTCTCTTACCACTAGAAGAGACAGAGAAAATGAGCAGATAAACAGAGTGACAGAAAGAACATCAGTAACAGGTTTTGCAGAGAAAAAAAAAACCAGCAGTGGAAATTGTAATGTGATTACACAGGTGCAACAGAATGGACAGCAAGTACCAATCCTCTGAAGTTTCTCCTTCTTCCCTTCTAACATTAAATCAATCAGTATTACAGTAGTAGCCATCCTAAATATGGGAATATACAAAATTCCAAGAAAGGGGAAATTTTTTCTGCATATTTTGAGCCACCTCCATCCTATTAATAAACCACACTATTAGAAGTTATCCATTAGACATAAAAAAACACTAAATACTCTACTTTAACCTCTGCCCAGTGGTCAGAAACCAAAGTTCTGCCTTTGCCTCCAAACGGCCACAGGGCTTGTCTTCCCCTTTTTCTGTTATGAATAAAGTGTCAAGAAACTTTTCCAAATTCACCATGTGCCAGAATATAATAATGTTCTTGTCTCTTATTTTATGCAAGTCCTAAGTACAATAGTTACAGTTTATTTAAATTAATCACTCCCAGTTTGAAGGACAAATTGAAATGCAAATTGAAACGGGGTCATTTGTGCAAGTTTTTTTTTTTACTTATTTTTGTTCAATGATAAGAAACTTTCATGACCTCTGTCCTGCTTCAGTTTTATGCCTTTGACACGTGACAGGGTTATTCTAAAGCAACATGGTTCATACTTCCTGTTTTGAGTTCACCTTTCTAGAATTAACTGATAAAATTGCTGCTGCAAAACACAACTGGGCACTTTTTGCATATTTCATTCCTGCACTGGGGATGATCTAGAGGAAAAAGAGTCTGTTCCAGTTTGGGAATATCATATTGTAGATCATTGCTTCTATTCAGAGCTGAGTGCCCCTGTTTCCTCACCTCCTGGATGCATAGAAACAAATAAAAGCATGCAGTGTCTCTTCCATGACCATGTGGTTCAGAGTAAGCCCATAGATCCCTCTGCAGCAGCTTAGCAAACAGACGGACATGAGTAGGAAATTCCAAACATCCCTGCGACTGTGAGTGGACTAATGGCCTTTCAGAGCCATTGCACAGGCAAAGAGCCAGCCCCAGCATCTCCCACTGTCACTGTCACGCTGAATTTCTTCCTCATGTTTGTGCCAATGGCCATTGCAAACCCTTTCAAAGCAGCTTCCAAGATAGCCAAGCACAGAGAAGAAACTTCAGAACAGTTAAAGACTATTCTGTGATTATATCAAAGAAAACATCTCAAGAAGTTTTCTTGAAAGTGTCCAAGAACTGCTCTGTTATGTACTCAAACCAAGAAATTAAAAGTTTGGCCCACTGGCTTCTTTTCAGACAGCAGGAAATAAAAGACAGACCTAGTCCTTCACTTTTCATTTAACAACTCATCTCCATGTACTTTTAGTCACATAAGGATGTGTGAAGTCCCAAAGCCAAAGCTTTGCTCAGCTTTAACAAGAAAGTGTTTCCCACCATGTCCCAGACAATCCACAGCCTTACTCTGTTCTAGCCAACAGCCCTGGATTGCTACTTCAGTCACTTCAAACTACTCCACTGGAGCTGTGTATCTGCAATTCTGGCAGAGACCAGGGATCTGAGGGAGATACTTGGTAAGAGTTTGGAGAACATTCTGGGTTAACACAAATCTCACAAATCAGAGAACAAGGAGTCATTTCACTTCTGGTTCCTGGTGGGATGATGCTTGCTGATGAGTCTCTCTTGCTGGGTATAGAGTAAGAATTTTTTGCTGTTCTTGCCTTTTGATCATTGCTGTTGATGCTGGTTTGTCCTCCAACATATTCCTCCAGTGGCTTGTTGCAATCACCTGCTGTGATTCGTTCTTAAAACATTTTAAAACCCTGGGGTGGGGATAACATGTCCTGTCTGATACTCAGTACAACATGATTGCACAATATCACAGTTCCTCCTCACCTCCCCCAGTGTCCTTGTACAGAAAGAAACTGAATTCCATCCATTGCCTTCTGTGGTTACTGCAGTTAAAGAAATGTTCCCCTTTTGGTAAATTGCTGGTTTTTAGTGTTTGGTAATATGTTTTATTTTGTTTTTTTTTTTTTAATCAAATGTCATATTGCAGGTATATCACATTAACAGCCACATTTTGACAATTCAAAACTGGATTTTACTGCATTTGGCAGCTTAATTATTAATCAAATGCAGAAAGAAACATTACTAAAAATGTTAGGATGGCAAAGACAGTCAAATGACTCTCAACAAAGTTACTCTTTACTGCTGTGTTTGTACTACATGTCTGTTTGCCTACTGATTCTAGGAATTTTAAATACTCAGATCCACCTCATAGGGAGCCTAACTTGGCCCTGCAGTTCTTTGTGCTTTTAAGTACCACACAGAGCAGGTTCTGAAGCAGTTCTTTACACCTTTAGAGTGCATGGATTAGTCCAGAGAGATGTTGAGCTCACTTTCCCATAATTTTATGTACAAAACTTCCATCTCAATAAATATTTTGTTTTCTGGCTTCTCTACCTGCCTCTCACTAATTCAGATACCTTTGCCTTTACAACATAAAGCATCATATATAAATTATTATTCCCAGAAAGTTAAAGATTTTTCAGTTCAAGAGAACAGAAAATGAACAAGGTAAATAGAGGAACACAAAGAAAGAGAAAACAAACTTTCCTATTTTACCAAACAATGTGCTAAGCTTTCCATCATTTGGGGTCTATAAATGAGAAGCAGATGCTTTCCTGGAGGACAAGCCTCCATTCAATCACTAATCCCTGGTCACTCAATAAGTTGCAAGAAGAGAAAGTGAAAGGCTGTCACACAGCAAGTCAGACCAGTCACATGTAAAGGTCCCCTAGGACCTTAAAATCTGTGAACGTGTTGTTCCTGAAGTCAGTGAGAGATTTCAAATTAATTTATGAGGAAAAAGGATTAGAACACAGATGAACAAATTGAATATAACCACATAATGTAAATTTGCTATTGGTCATGAGAACATTTTGTACTGCTTTAAACCAGTACACTGAAAGCTCATAAGTCACTGTCTGTGTAGTACCCAGAGATCTAAAAAGCTCAGAAAAGTCCTGTATTTTAACTGGTCCCATCAGCAATCAAATACCCACAGACTTTGGAAGTGGTAAGAGGTCTAACGTGGCTTCCCTTAGCATTCAGAATAGAAATATTGACTCCACGTTTTTAAACTAAAATTACATGCTACATATGCATGAGACAGATTTGTCAGCCAAGGAAAAAAAAATTGCCACGATTACCTTTAAATTGAGCATGCTGATTTGCATTCTAGTCAAGGCAGACTATTAAGATAGCCTTGAGTTAGCAGTGTGCCAAGCTTTATGCCCAGTGAAGCAAACAGATGTATAAAATAAACAGTCCTCAATGTAAAGTATGCTCAGCTTTGCAAGGAGACTTTTCCTTGACAACACTGCAGGCTGGGCTAATGCAAGAGAGAAGAATTTGCTGGAAAACAAACCACTCTTATCACGTGGCTTTGTACAGTGACAGAAGGTCAGCAGCCCGATTGCAGTGTCAAGTTGTCATGAATTCACACAGCAGTAACCTTTCCAAGTAGCCATGTTATCACATTCTTTGCAGTGAACCAACTGGAACATTTAGTCAGGGCCCCAGATGGATAGAGCCATATCCTAAGGCAGAATCATAAAATATTCTGAGTTGGAAAGGATCCACTAAAACCATCAAAGCTCAACTCCTGGGCCTGCACAGGACACCCCAAGAATCACAACAGGTGCCTGAGAGCATTGCTCAAATATTCCTGAGCTCTGTCAGGCTTGGTGCTGTGACCACTGCCCTGGGGAGCCTGCTCCAGTGCCCAGCCACCCTCTGGGTGAAGAAACTCTTCCCTAACCTCCCCGATGGATGCTGTATCCTCAGCTCCTGCCACTGGTCACCAGAGAGAAGCTATTAATGCCTGCCTCTCCACTTCCCTTCTTGCTACCCCCTGTTCCAGCAGAATTGCACTTCCAGGCACGTCCCACCACTCCTTCCATCACATAAACTTTCATGTGTAGCAACGCCCCAACAATCTCCACATGCACTGCCACAGATCAGAGTTCCCCATGAGTCAAATTCTCTCTTAAACCTGCATTTGATGGGGTTGTAACTTGAGCCACTTTAGCAACACACACAAAGAAGGGAAGAGAAAAAAAAGCCCCTGGAGGCTCTGGGTAGAACAAGTGAAACCTGCTCCTTTACTAGAACTGCCTGCTCCATGAGGCAGTGGGTAAGGATGCTGAGAGAGCTTTGACATTTAAATGAGTTGGTACCATTGGTAATATTAATCATCCCTTGGTGGCTTTTTTTTAGCCAAACTGCCAATAACACACTACGATAAACCCCTTTACACATGCACACAGTCAACTCTGAGATACAGCTTTTGTAAACAGGAACAGTTCCATAAAAATTGCTGAAGTGCAACAAGGCCAGTTAAGTACAACAAGAACTGGCTATTTCTGCCAGGAGTTTACTGCCAGAATTAGGTAAATGGATGAAAGCACAAAAAGGAAAGAATTCCAGGAGTAGTAAAGGAGAATATTCACTCACAGCAGGTTTAATATCTGCAAGAAGATCCAAAATGAATATGTTGTTTTCTGCTGATGGCCTTCAGGGTCTAGGCTGCCATTTCTCCCCTTCTCTGCTTCACCCCACGTGAATGAAAGAGTCCCACAGGGCCAGCTCTAGGCTTTGACTAATAGACATTTTCATGTGCTAGCCAAAAGTTTTCTCCAGGAAGAAGGACTTTTGTAATAGCTTACACAGAGCAGTGCTCTTGTAATAACTGAGCAGCAGCCAGGGCTGAAGCACCACCTGTTACTGCATGCAGGAATTTTTTTAATAAACTCTTCATATCTACCATGAGAGGCCTACTAGTTTTGAACCTCAGCTGATCTGGCACCAGAACTACAATTGTCTCTCATTAGGGCATACCAGGAAAAAAAAAAAAAAAAGAAAAAAGAAATCAAACAGGACACTTGGCTTCTATTGTATTGGCTTGTATTGACTCTGGATTGCCCACCACATTTGTGGCAACATCCTACTGCAAGATCAAAAGAGCTCCAAGTTCACCCTCTACAAATTGAGGTTCACAAAGGAGGCATTTCACTGAAACTTCACAGAGCAAGAAGAAAAGTTAATGGAGTACCACCTGCACTCACCATAGCAGAAAATTCATCAGATAAAATTCACAGACCATCCTGTGCCACAATTTCAACTACCAGACTGAATTAGCTAGTTACAATTAACTTGGAGTTTCAAGTTTTCATCTCTTTCTAGAAACAATGAACAGCTGATATGTCAATTAACACATATGAACCACTACTCATCTGTGTGAGCAAAGCTTTAGTTGCCACCCTTCTCTATAAAACCTCAGAGTCAAGCCTGGGCTCTACATCAGTATTACATTCAACAGCTCTATGACTAACTTTTATTGCATACTAGATAAACTTCATTCTTCAGTAAACTGTTAACATATCAATAAAACCAAACATTCATATCAAATCCACTAGTACATTGGAAAGTTCTAATTCCAATCCAGTTTGGGATACAAATTTATAACTAAACCCCCTAATTGTAGCTACACTCTCATCCACATTAAACTACCATGAAAGACCAACAAAAGCAAAATGGATAGTAACCCTGTACCAGTCTGTAAGGCAGGGCTTTTTAACTAACTGAGAGTATTGTGTGATCCCTCAAGGGATTAAAAAATTAATTGCCTAGCCCAAACTAAGTATACTACATGATTTACCCCTAAGCACAGGGAAATCTTGCCAACTCTTGGCTCCACACAAGCGGATATGCAACCCTGTCCCCTCCCCAGGTTTCCCAGCAGGAAGCTGCCTTTGCACACATTCCTGTGCCCAAGTCTAGGCAAGGGGAAGGTGGTGGGGCAATACTAGCACTGAGCTCAGAAACAGAATTGACTTGGTAGCCATTGGGCAAAGAAAGAGTCAGCTCTGACTAGTTACCAGCTTTTTTTTTTTTTTTTTTTTTTTTTTTTTTTTTTTTTTTACAAGAGGCAAGGCTGCATTGCTAGCCAGGCAAAGTCCAAACTGAGGACAGGGGGCTCTGGAACAAACTGTTTAAATGTGTCCATCATGGGCAATGAGGACCCCAGCCTCCTGTGGGACACAGTCACTTCTTAGGTTATTGTCAGGAATCAAGATCAGTTAATGGGCTTTCATTCCTGAAGAGTTTTCTAGCTTCTTAAATGGAAATGGAATAAACATTTTTCTAAATCCCTTTCAAAAACCAGATGTTAGAATTACTTATTAAGCATAGGAATTACATATGGATGCTTCCATTTGAGTTAAATTTTCCAGATCTGTCATAAGTACTGAAATGATTTCTATAGAAATGCCTGTATTAATCAGTGCACACTTATTTAAAAGTGGTTACCTCAGAGTTGTAGTCAATTATTGCCAACAAATCTAAAGTATAAAAGGAATATTATCTAATTGTGTTATTCTTTGAATAATCTGCAAGGTAAAGTCAAAGAAGAGAAAAAAGCCATTTAGCAAAGTAATAGTCTTCACAAGTTAATATTTAAAAGCCATGGAATATGTGTTCTTATCAGAAAACTTCAGAAGAGGAAAAACATTACTAGAAAAGTAAGTAATCAAGCCACAGTCCAGGAGCAAACTGGACAGAAAGCTGGACTCTTCCTTACCTTTTTACCATTCACAAAGAAAACAAGTTCATCCCCTGCCTCGTTTGGAGCCATCCTTCACACCTTCCCAACTTCACTCCAACAGGGCCACACACCACCCTTGTGAGAGCAGCCCTGCTCCCCACAGCAAAGCACAGAGCACCAGCCTCACCACGAGCACTACGAGTCTGCCTCAACAGTGTTTGACTTTATTTCTACACCAGTGCCCTGTGAAACCCCATATTATATAAGAGGCAGCAAAGAGGCGTGCCAGCTGCCTTTGGTTGGTGCTTCTGCAGCCTTAATGACAGAAAAGGAGCTGGAACGAGCAGAGTGACCCGCCCCCTTTTATATAGCAGAGGAACACAATTCAGCTGCATTCCCTTTAGATTATCCTGCCAGCCTTGGGGCACTCGCCGTGTGCCACTGACACGGCTGCTAGCAAGGGATTCACAGGGTTTTGCAATGCAATGCAAACTTCAGGGGAGGGAGGGGAGGTTCCTCCAGTTATCCCTCACCAAATATTGACAAGAAAAAGCTGTTCCCCTTGTTCTGTGCACGGCCATCCACCTGGCATTCACCACGCAGAGGGCTCTAATACAGCACCTGCTTATTTAAAAAACTCCTTGATATGTGCACATCTGCCGGTAGACCAACTGCAAGACAATTTCACTATTTTTTCTCACAGTTTTAATGCTACAGTACCCTCTGCCTGGGAGGACATAATTTAAACAGGCATGTTTTTATCCACATAATAGCTATTCTAGAAAACTGGCACTCTGATCCAGCACCTCTTTTGAGTTGCTGGACTATGACCCTAATGTTTACACTGGACTCTCAGAGCATTTAGTCTTACCTGTTTTTCCCTTAATCCTCACATTCTGGTTCCTAGGTGCATGTTGCTAGTGAAACACGGAGGAAAAACAAGGATTTTTTGTCTTCCATTTCCCTGGTGGTGGTTTCTTCTGGCTTCTCCATTACACAACCACATATTTTTGCATGAAGTCTTCCTGGTTTTTTTCTTCCAAAGGTGTTGGCAGAATCATACACAGGCCCCTGCATATGACATGCATTGTCCAGTGAACAAGATATCTAAACTGCTCGTTCTAGTTTAAAGTTCCACCACAAGACAGCACAGTTCCAAAGTTTCATGGAAGTTTCCTAGCACTGTACCTTATCCTATCTGCTCCATTCTGATTCTTGTGACTTTGCTTTCCTTCTTCAGTTTCAATTAGTTTTGATTAGCTTTTTTCATTATTGCTTTAAAATCCCTGGGAAACCACTATATCAAAGTCTTCTTCTCAGGAACCTCTCTGAATAATTCATGAGATCACAAAACCTAATTAAATTACAATTTTCAGAAACAGTCTTTCCTTCAGTAGTATGGAAACATGTCACAGTGAATACAATACATACATTATTTTTACCAGCTTTTATCTTCTGTCTCATGTATTCTGTTTCCCAGTCTATATCCTAGAAAAGCTATTTTATAAAAAGTATCAAACACTGTTTCAGACTTTTTTACAAGCATTTCAGTTTGCTGGAAGTAGCAAACTTGTGCTCAACACCAGCTGCCTTAATCTATATTTTCAGTGAAGTTGTGCATAGCTGAACCAGTGCTGACACCTATTGTCTGGTACCTCCCACTTTGTAATATCAGAGTACTAGAAAAAACACTTTTCCCCACGTAGTCTTAAGCTCTGTTGTTTTATATTTATGTGCAAAATTTACACAAGCACTACCCTCACGTAGCAAGCTTCAATCTCAAAATTAGTGTACACAAGGTTACCACTCATTAATAGTTTTGTAATATTACAAATAACAATGATTACTCAGAACCACAAGTAACGTGTTATTAAAGCAATCTTAAAGCAACTAGCCATTACAGCATTAACACCAAAATCAAACTTGTTTAGTTTCCTAATCCATGCTTTCCATAATGCACGATGCAGTTCTTAGGTTTAAAGAACGCTTCCAATCACATCATCGCTTTCATAAGGAAGTCCATTCTCAAATTTCTTCCTAGCCTTGATGATAACATTATAGGTAAACTATTGCTTTTTGCTAAATCAGTAAACAGCACCTTGTGATATTCCATCACAGGAATTTGATCTATCAACCTACTATATACATAAGACAAAAATAAATACAACCATAATAATGATCTCTATACATAGATTACATGGTAATTTAAAACTTCAGACCTCATCTCAACAGAGAAACTGGTCACAGCACCAGATTCACTCATTCTCTCACCACCCTGATGGAACAGTCTATTACTACACCTATTTCAAAGGCAGAGAACCAAGACATACAGAACAGTAATTTTCCTAGTGCTCTAAATAACTCTGGAGCATGAGAGCATGTGTTATTGAAATCACTTGTCCAGAGGATTACCAGAAATTAGAGAAAAGAAAGTGAAAGCTAAAAAAAGCCAACTCACAAAACCCTCAACCCAGAACTCCCTTAAGTGAGCTAAAATGGAAAACTTTCCTCAAACAAAAACTAGTTATGAGACAAAGTATTCTGACTTACCAGTCAGATAAAGTCTAGCAGCTTTCCCATTTTAGAAATCATCCCTTTACCCATTCATAACTCTGAGATGGGAATGTTTAAGAAGTACAAAATTCCTTGCAGTCTTATTCACTCACTAAAGAGCTCGGAAAGCATTTGGTATTAGTCAAGAATACATATTTTTTTAAAAAGCAGCTGACTTTCATCATTGTGACTGTTTAATCCTGCAGACCTGGCTGTTGCAATCATCATCATAATAATAATCTGTTCTGCAGATGATCACGTGTAGCTCAATAAATACAGTGAAATTTATGGAAATGCCATTCCTGCCAGGAGTTTACTGCCAGAATTAGGTAAATGGATGAAAGTACAACAAGGAAAGAATTCCAGGGGTAATAAAAGAGAAGATTTAAAACAAACAAAAGTGAGAAGATTTGTGGCTCTGTTCTAATGTTCCCCTTCCAGGAAACAGGAAAGAACAAAGTACAGGTGGCTCTGAAGAGGATTCTATGACGGGATTTATGAGGAGCAATTTTTAAAGCAAATACAAAAGAAAACAGAGTCCCAAGTCAGTGCTTTAATGCAGTAACCCCTGTATCAAGCTTCCAGTGTCTGCACACTCACTCTGTGTGCCCACTCCTCCTCTAGAACCACTGTTTCTAAATCATTGTGGACAGCATCTTTTCCCTGAAGTGAAAACAACCTGTTTGCTTTAGTTCTGGGAACCCCTCTTCTGTTGGCTTGTGTATCCTTTGTTGGAGCACACACTGAACACTTCATGGATCTCAAGAGGAGGTCTCCACCTGCTGTTATCAGGGTCAGCCATGAGGGCATAGGAGGTTAATTAGAGCTGTACACACCATCTCTTACTTCTTTAAAAAAATCCCTTTTTAGAGCCTTTTCAGAGCTATTCGTGGTTGTGGATTTTGTTCTGAGTGTTCTCTGTATGAGTTAAAAAAAAGACAAAACATCATAGAGTAATGATTCTAGATTGAGAAAGAGAGTGTGTGTTACCTGAGGATGTTTCTTCTTCTCTTTGGCATCACCTATCAGTCTCTGGTGAAGACAGGTTCCTGAAAGAAGTGGGCCTTTTATCTTACTGGATAGGGACATTGATACTTTATTGCCAAAGTCCCCAAAAAGAGCTCAAAGAAACAAAACCATTTAGGATTCTAAGATAGACAGTAAACTTAATACTCTGCAATAACAAAACCCTCCAAAGAACCCCAACCAAACACCAAAACCCAAAAAAACCTCCACATAAAATTCCCATATGATTATGAAAGTAAGGTACTGCACATTTTTTCAAAGGCATTTCTCAGAAATTAAAAAAATATATTCATGGACTTTCTTATGAAGTGTCTAAATTCCTTTCTGGTTACAGATAGAGATTTGAAAAATATCCTTGTCACAAAGCAAACAAATTTGATTTCCTCATCGAGGTTTGTGAGTGGATACTAGCTCATTATTAATGAATCACTAATCATTCAGTGTTCAGCTTCTAATTGTACAAATATTGTCTAATTGTCCAGATTTATTGCATGAATTATGATCTATTCACCTGCTTTTGGAGATGGGTGGAGTTAAATTATAGCTCTTTTCTTTGTCCTACCACTCGTCTATGAGAGCAAGGTTAGCCAATTCAGCCTTCTGTTGAGGAGTCCTGGTTGCCACTATTGTTCACAACAATTAGCAAAGTATGACTTGTTTCAATTCATTCAGCCTTTCTTCCATTTCCTACTTCCAGTGGGCCAAACAAAGGATGTTTCAGATATCTGAAAAGCAACTTCTTTTCAAGCAGGCTTGTTAATGGGTGTTCCTTGTCTTCAGCAGCACCAAACTTGACACCTATCTAAGTTGTCTTTTACCTGCTTCCAGGTACCATGTGAGAGAAACTCCCTATACCTATCCTGATGATTTAACTCAATAAAATCATACCTTCTTCTTCATCTTTCTTTTTCTTCTGTTAACATTTTAGGAGCATCTTTTGTATTTAAACATTATATCTCTGTCCCAGAAGGAGGCAGAGTTCACTTGCAGACAAAGACAGGCTGTTGCCCTTGTCACAGGTGGAAGCATTGTCTCCAGTGGGTGTTCCAAGTAGAAAAAGGGAAGGAAGCAGCTGCAAGAACCACACAGGGCTCTTCATTCTTCTGAACAGCTGCTAAAGCACTGTCTCTTTGGCATCTAATAATCCCATGATATTCCAAGATCCCTGCATGGGCAAGTAAGAGTTTCTGGGCCAGATTAATTAAGTAAAAACTAGTTCCCATACCATACTCATTCATGGCTAACTTTCCACTGCTTTTCTTCATAGGAGAGAGTCTCTACACAGAAGTCTGCCTTGCTTGTTTTCTTCTGCCCCTTTGAAGGTATGACTTAATTCTGTTTGGGAGATGGTAATACCTAGTTTTCTCTTGTCTATACACAGGATGCAGTCTAGCATGTGGCTCCTTATCAAAACTCTGACAGCAGCTATATAAAGTAAATCTCTATTACATATACTGTTTTGAACCCTCCTGGGCATCTGCACAAATCCTCTGGCTGCCCTGTGTATCTCACTGGTAATCCTTTTCTCATTTCAGAATGCAGTATTTTGATGGGCAGTTCACTCAAAAGACAAGAAATCCTCCACAGCTGCCTCTGCTAACAAAGAACCAAAAAGGTTTTCTTGAGTCAACCAAACATTTGACCATTCTGTCTAGGACGGATTTGTATGCCAAAAGCTTGTAAGCATCCCCCAACCATGTAAGTCTGCCTCTCTCCACA